AACCCTGAAACAACCTCTTGGCTGATCAAAGTCAGAGCATGGCTAACTCACGTGTCAGATTTTGCGGAGGGAGGAAAAGCTAAGAATCCGTAGAAAGACTCTCGACCGATCAAGTCAGAAATAAATATAAACTCTACTCTACTCGAACCCACTACAGCCACAATTGTTATCGTCGAAACCAAGGAAGGTTTAGTGGAGTTTTAAAGCTCCCGAAGCTGAGGGAACATTTGTAGACTGATATTCCGAGGACGCCTTGCTATCATTTTGTACTGACTATGATCACCGAGGAAAAATAATAAAATATAGTTGGCTTTTTGTTTATTCAAAACTCGAATAAATTGTAGGATGCTTTTGATCTAGTGCTCATAACTTCATGCTCTGAGGAAATTTGAAATTAAATTTTTACTTGTTTTACTTTTATAAAAACAATGGGCAACTTTATAGATGGTTGAGGCCTCGTCCACACGTATCCGGAAATTTTTGTACCCGCAAATTTTTTTTTGCGTATACGAGTTGCGTCCACACGTGTCCGCAAATTTTACGAAAGCGGATACGTGTGGACGGTGAAAACGATTCGAATACGCTGCGTGTGGACGCAAACATTTTCGTATCCGCAAAAAATAATTTGCGGATACAAAAATATCCGGATACGTGTGGACGGGGCCGGAATTCGAAATTAATTTTGGTTTAAAAACACAAATGAGGGAGATTAGTCCATTCACAAAAACCCCATTAGCCCATAACACTTCTTGATAAACGATTTCATGAAGATGTAACGATGCTAATTTATAGATGGTAATTTTGCAAACCATTCTTGACGATCGACAGCAATTACCAAATGTAAGAACGAGGCAAAATTTCCTGAAAAGCTTTTTGAATTGCCAGAAGTGGTCATCGCTTGGTCGAAAGTGTAAAGCCTACAGAAGAGAAGACCCAAACGACGCTTCTAAAATATCCAGCGAATCCAGAGTAGCTATACTCGAGAAGAGTGGAATGGCTGAGGCCCCGTCCACACGTATCCGGAAATTTTTGTGTCCGCATATTATTTTTTCGGATACGAAAATGTTTGCGTCCACACGCAGCGTATTCGAATCGTTTTCACCGTCCACACGTATCCGTTTTCGTAAAATTTGCGGATACGGACACAAAAATTTCCGGGCACGTGTGGACGCAACCCTTATCCGCAAAAATAAATTTGCTGACACAAAAATTTGCGGATACGTGTGGACGAGGCCTGAATGTATTGAAGAAAGTGAAAATAAATATGTTGCTTTTGAAGGCATTAGAGGATCATAATTAAGAACACATTAGTCTGGCTAATACTGAGGTGATGATAAGATAAAATTTAAGAATGATCAGCTTTTTTTTCCGGTCCGGTATCTATAAATCGTTCGTTCTGATGACATGTTCAATCGAACAGATATTTTCTCCGGATCTGCCCGCGGCCCAATATTCATACGTAAAATGGGTATTTCAGAATTGGCAACAAATCAATGGAGCCGGTGATTAACGGATTTCATTGTCCAGTTCTAGGTACTTAATTCTAACTTTTGACAACGCGAATTGGTATTGAAATCTTGAACTGAACTAATACTAGCAAGTCTTCCTAATTGCGGCATTATTTCACTTTACGTCAGATGAAAACAATATTCTATTTTGTTCAACGTTAAGGGACATTCGTGGGGATAATGTTAAATCATGGCGGGTGTTTCATTGTTATTTATATCTGGAGTGTTTCAGAGTCAAGTGGTTGCACTCCACTTGTCAAATAGATCTTATTAGACATTTTAAGGTGGAAATGATACAGGTGGATGATTTTTTCGTATATTTTTTCGAGAAAACAATGTCTACTCTTATTCCACCCTAAAATGTCTAATAAACTATTTATTATCCAACTGAGCTGAAGTTTTCCCACATAGGCTTCAAAACAAATATTTTTGGAACTAGTTGTCAAACCCGCTATTGTGTAAAATAACCTATATCGCAGGATATGTGTACTCGATACAGGCTTTTTCCTGCGTTACCGTACTCTTATTATAATACACTCAACAAAATTACTCGACTCTGATTGGACAAGAGGACTACAATTAAATCCAAAATTGTACTCTGTAGAGTCCCAATAAGTTGCTCGATTTTGTTGAGTGTATCATAAACAAAAAACCGCACAATCTTCTGTACAATTCGGAATTCATAGATACTCGTGATGTTTTAAAAGTTCTCAAATTTGACTCCCCTAAAGGCTCGTCCAATTTTGAAAACATCGCTCGTACCTATAAATTCCGAATTGTACTCTAGATCGTGAGATTTCCTATACTAATTTGAATAGTTGGATCAGATAAAAACCAATATTAGAAAATAGATATACATCCGACTATCGTCAGTTCAAATTAAAATTAGTCCAAATTAATTCTTATTGTTTTTTACCATTTTCATAGTTCAGAAAAGATTAATAATATTTCTGATGAAAACCTTTCTTAATGAACATCTAAATTAGAAGTAACACATATAAACTTTATTGATGGAAAAAAATCCAGATATTTTTTCAGAGGTTTAAAAAACCGCTGAATAATCTTTACGATTTTATTAAAGAACCATACACGTTTTGAGCTTCAAGAGGGCAAAACCCTCAAATTTTGCACGGAACTCTAGATTTTTTAGTTATTTTCCAGAATAACATGGAATATCCAATTCAGTATTTTACAAAGTTTAAGACAATTCTGTTTATCAGAACAATGTAAAAAATCATATTCTGTTTGTTTTGTGCTCAATTTTTAGCGATAACTTACTTATGTTTYTTCCTTAGTTTCGGTTTTATGATCTTTTTGCTACAGAGCTTGATTTCCGCTATTTTTCTTCCAAAATTGTACAAACGCATGTCATTCCGGAGCGATTATTTCAAAAACAAGCTCGGGGCACCCCATTTTTCTTTGGATTTTTGAAATTAGCATTAAATTTCAGGTGAAAAA